GGTCTCTAAGGACTTACTCTGTGAATCTGGATGCTCCTGTATTGCGTGCATATATATTTAGGATAGTTGAATTGATCCCTTTACCATTATGTAATGACCTTCTTTGTCTCTTTTGATCTTTGCTGGTTTAAAGTCTGGTTTTAACAGAGAGTAGATTTGCAACCCCTGCTTTTTTTTTTTTTTTTTTTTGGTTTTCACTTGCTTGGTAGATCTTCATCCCTTTATTCTGAGCCTTTTGTGTGTCTCTTCACGTGAGATGGATCTCCTGAATACATCACTTTGATGGATCTTGACTCTTTATTCAATTTGCCATTCTGTGTCTTTTAATTGGGCCATTTAGCATGTTTACATTTCAGGTTAATATTGTTATGTGTGAATCTGATCCTGTCATTATGATGCTAGCTGGTTATTTTGCCCATTAGTTGATGCGGTTTCTTCATAGTGTTAATGGTCTTTACAATTTGGTATGTTTTTGCAGTGGCTGGTACCAGTCTTCCTTTTTTATGTTCAGTGCTTCCTTCAGGAGCTCTTGTAAGGCAGGCCCGGTGGTGACAAAATCTCTCAACATTTGCTTGTCTGTAAAGGATTCTCGCCTTTACTTATGAAGCTTAGTTTGTCTGGATATGAAATTCTGGGTTGAAAATTCCTTTCTTTAAGAATGTTGAGTATTGGCCCCACTCTGTTCTGGCTTGTAGGGTTTCTGTAGAGAGATCCATTGTTAGTCTGATGGGCTTACTTTGATGGGTAACCCAGCCTTTCTTTCAGGCTGCCCTCTACCGTTTTCTTTTCATTTCAACCTTGGTGTATCTGATGATTCTGTGTCTTGGGGTTGCTCTTCTCGAGGAGTATCTTTGTGGTAGTCTCTGTATTTTCTGAATTTGAATGTTGGCCTGTCTCACTAGGTTGGGGATATTCTCCTGGATGATATCCTAAAGAGTGTTTTCCAACTTCGTTCCATTCTCCCTGTCACTTTCAGGTACCCCAATCAAACATAGATTTGGTCTTTTTTTACATAGTCCCATATTTCTTGGAGGCTTTGTTCATTTCTTTTTATTCTTTTTTTCTCTAATCTTGTCTTCTTGCTTTATTTCATTAAATTGATCTTTAATCTCTGATATCCTTTCTTCCACTTTATCAATTCAGCAGTTGATATTTGCGCATGCTTCATGAAGTTCTCATGCTGTGTTTTTCATCTCCATCAGGCATTTATGTTCTTCTCTGAAGTGGTTATTCTCATTAGCAATCCATCTAACCTTTTTTCCAAGGTTCTTGGCTTCCTGGCATTGGGTTAGAACATGCTCCTTTAGCTTGGAGGAGTTTGTTATTACCTACCTCTGAAATTTGTCAAATTTGAATTTGTCAATTCATCAGACTTATTTTCCATTCAGTTTCGATTTTTTACTGGTTCTGAGTTGTGATCCTTTGGAGGAGAACAGGCATTCTGGTTTTTGGAATTTTCAGCCTTTTTGCGCTGACTTCTCCCCATCTTTATGGATTTATCTACTTTTGGTCTTTGATGTTGATGACGTTCGGATGGGGGTCTCTGAGTAAACATCCTTTTTGTACATGTTGCTTCTATTCCTTTCTGTTTGTTTGTTTTCCTTTTAACAGTCAGGACCCTCTGCTGCAGATCTACTGGAGCTTGCTGGAGGCCCACTCCAGACCCTGGTTGCCTGGGTATCACCAGTGGAGGCTGCAGAACAGCAAAGATTGCTGCCTGTTCCTTCCTCTGGAAGCTTTGTCCCAGAGGCCACCCGCCAAAGGCCAGCTAGAGCTCTCTTGTAGGAGGTGTCTATCAGCTTCTACTGGGAGGTGTCTCTCAATCAGGAGACACGGGTGGCAATCAGGAGTCTCAATCAGGAGACTTGAGGTGGCAGTCTGACCCTTAGCAGAGTTTGAATGCTGTGCTGGTAGATCCGCTTCTCTCTTCAGAGTTGTCCAGCAGGGATGTTTAAGTCTGCTAAAGCTGCACTCACAGCTGTCCCTTACCCCAGGTGCTCTGTCCCAGGGAGATGGGTGTTTTATCTATATTCCCCTGACTGTGGCTGCTGCCTCTTTTTTCAGAGATGCCCTGCCCAAAGAGGAGGAATCTTGAGATACAGTCTGATCTTGCTGAGCTGCGGTGGCCTCCACCCAGTTCAGTCTTTGTGCTTTCAAGTTTTGTGCTCGAAACCCAGGGACCTGGTGTCATAGGCACCGGAGGGAATCTCCTGGTCTGCAGCTTATGAAGACCACAGGAAAAGCACAGTATCTGGGCTGGAGAGCACTGTGCTTTATGGTGCAGTCCCTAAACCCTTCCCTTGGCTAGGAGAGGGAGTTCCCCAACCCCTTGCACTTCCCCAGTGAGGCAACGTCCCACCCTGCTTTGGCTCCTACTCAGTGAGCTGCACCCACTGTTCAACTAGTCCTAATGAGATGAACCGGGTACCTCAATTGGAAATGCAGAAATCACCCACATTCTGTGTCGATCGCGCTGGGTGCTGCAGACCAGAGCTGTTCCTATTCGGCCGTCTTGCCAGCCTCCTCTATTTTGATTTTTATTACAGAAAGTATAGTATAATAATATCCTACTATAATTATATTGCTCTCCTTGTGTTTCTTCTATTCTGTCAGTATTTGATTTATATATTTGTAATCCTGTGTGACGCGCGCACACACACACACACACACACACACGTATTCAAAGTTTTCACAGATTCCCAGTTAATCTATTATTTTTAATGTCTTTCTTTGTCTCTTTGGAGTTTCACTGTCAAGTGCATTTTATAAAATATGAGTCCTTGACTAAAAATTTAGCTTGTGTAATATTATTTTGACTTATTCTACTCTCATTTGATTAATATTTGCATGAAATGTCTACTTCCATCTTGCCACTTTGAGCCTTTTTAATATTAGATTTCAACTGACCCTTGTAGAAAGGCAAGTTGGTTCTTGATATTTAAAATATTTAATAGGCCATGCACAGTGACTCATGCCTGTAATCCTAGCACTTCAGGAGGCCAAGGTGGGTGGATCACCTGAGGTCAGGGGGTCCAGACCACCCTGGCCAACATTGTGAAACCCCATCTCTACTAAAAATACAAAAATTAGCTGGGCGTGTTGGTGGACTTTGGTAATCCCAGCTACTTGGGAATCTGAGGCAGGAGAATTTCTTGAACCTGAAAGGCAGAGGTTACAGTGAGCTGAGATAGTCTCATTGCACTCCAGCCTGGGCGACAAGAGTAAAACTTTGTCTCAAAAGAAAAAATGTTAATAAATCTATAAAAAATCTGTTGATTTGAAAGTTAATTTTCCATATATTTAAATACATTTTGGAAAGTGAAGGCATTACTTTTATTTTATTACCTATTCTATTTGATTCCTCCAGGTTGTCCCTCATTTTCTCTCTCTGTCTTCCTTTCTTTCTTTCTGATTTTTGTATTGATATGCTTTCACTTTCTTATTTTTCTTTTGTATATGTATATAGTTTTTATGTGTGTAGTATCTTGGGGATTACATAAAACCTCTAAAAATACAACAACATATTTTAATCAGGTGAAAAATTAACTTTGGTTGCATAAAAAATTCTTCCTGATTATGTCTGCCCTTAAATTTGTCACTGATGTTGCTAAGTTTATCTATTTATGTTGTATATTCATTAACAGATGTTTATAATAATTCCTATGCTTTTATCTCTCAAATGTTAGAGAATAATTAAAAATCTTTTCTGTACCATTAGAATAATGCTAGAAATTCAATTTTTTGTATGTGCATATCTTCTCTAGAAAATAATGTATTTTTATATGATTAGGTGTTGTTTTCTTGCATTATGTTATTTTCAGTGGTAAGAACTGCTTTCGGCATGTTTCCTATGGAAGACATATGCAGTCCCAATGTACTTCTTAAGAATTTAGTTATTTTGAAAGTTTCTTTCTTTTGTTTGTTTTTTCCTACTAGGCACAACAGATTTGCTGATGGTATTATTCTCACTTGTTTGCTATTTTCTTTTCTTTTTTTTTTTTTAGGACTTTGACTATATCATGCAGTTCTCTTCTGGCCTGCAAATCTTTTATTGACAATTCACTGGTTATTTTTGTTCTTATCCTCATTTTTCTGATTTTCTATACTCTTTTGTTTTCCTATTTCACTCACCGAATGTTATTCAGTTTTTAAAATTAGTGTATACATTTTAATGGTTTCTTTATGAAAATTTTATAATATTTTTGATGAGATTATATTGCCCTATTTTGTATAGATTGTAATCTTTGAGATTTGTATATTTAAAAAGGCTACCTGTCACAGAGTTTATAATGTAGCTTTGTCCTGGCACAGTCAGAAAATAATGATCTTGGCTAGAGATTATGTGGGTCTCTCAAACGTCTTCAGATTTGTCTTGTCTGAAATTTTGTGTTTAGTTTTAGTTAAGAGAGATTATTTATGTTTCTTCTGAAAAGTAATCACTTGGTACACCTGTTCTCTCTCTGCAGCACTGCAGTGCTCTGCTGCAGTGCATTTACCTTTGGTCTTAGCAGACTCAAAAGTGTCATTTCAAAGTATATCACCATATCTGTCAGCACTTTTTGTCGTGGGAGACAGAAACCAGTGTGTGGTAAGGACTGTAGAAGACAGAAATTAAATCGTATGTGCCAATATTTTACTTTCCTTAAACAAACAAACAAACAAACAAGTTGACAATTTACTTCTGAAGGGACTAGGTAATATTGAGGAGCAGAAAGAGTTGTATTGGGTAAATTTAACAAACTTTTCTTTTTTCTATGTGGCTCTTTGCATTGGGCTTAATTCAGGCACTGCACACACTTGACTCATATATAAATTATCCTCATATGTATTTTGGTCTGTATGTTTTCATTACATTTATATGTCTATGAAGAATTAGGGCCTGTGTCATATTGCAATGTAATCTTACTTATGTAGTTTGAATAATTTATAGGTTAGATTTGGAAACTATATTTTTCTGAGTCTAATAAGTGGACTAATTTGTTGTTTTTATTTCTTTTCAGTTATATGTTCTCATTTTGCTCAAGACCTTTGGCCAGAGCAGGGCATAGAAGATTCTCTCCAAAAAGTGACATTGAGAAGATATGAAAAATGTGGACCTCAGAATTTACAGTTAAAAATTGGTTGTACCAATGTGGATGAGTGTAAGGTGCACAAAAAAGGTTATAATCAGCTTAACCAGAGTTTGACAACTACACAGAGCAAAGTATTTCAATGTGGTAAATATGCAAACGTCTTTAATAAACGTTCAAATTCAAACAGACATAAGACAAGACATACTGGAAAGAAACTTTTGAAATGTAAAGAATATGTCAGATCATTTTGCATGCTTTCACACCTATCTCACCATAAAAGAATTTGTACTAGAGAGAATTCCTACAAATGTGAAGAAGATGGCAAAGCCTTTAACAGGTCCTCAACACTTACTTATTATAAGAGAATTCATACTGGAAAGAAATCCTACAAATGTAAAGAATGTGGCAAAGCCTTTAGTAAGTTCTTAGTCCTTAGTAAACACAAGGTAATTCATACCAGAGAGAAACTCTACAAATATAAAGAACATGTCAAAGCCTTCAGCTGGTCCTCAAACCTTTCTAAGCACAAGAGAATTCATGCTGGAGAGAAACCCTACAAATGTGAAAAATGTGGCAAAACCTTTAAGTGTCGCTCAACCCTTAGTTATCATAAGAAAATTCATACTGGAGAGAAACCCTACAAATGTGAAGAATGTGGCAAAAGCTTTAGTGTGTTCTCAAGCCTTACTAAACATAAGGTACTTCATACTGGAGAGAAACCTTACAAATGTGAAGAATGTGGCAAAGCCTTCAGCTGGTCCTCAAACCTTACTAAACACAAGAGAATTCATGATGGAGAGAAACCCTATAAATGTGAAGAATGTGGCGAAGCCTTTAAGTGGTTCTCAACCCTTTGTTGTCACAAGAAAATTCATACTGGAGAGAAACCCTACAAATGTGAAGAATGTGGCAAAGGCTTTAGTATGTTCTCAATCCTTACTACACATAGGGTAATTCATACTGGAGAGAAACTCTACAAATGTGAAGTATGTGGGAAAGCCTATAAGTGGCGCTCAACCCTTAGTTATCATAAGAAAATTCATACTGGAGAGAAACCCTATAAATGTGAAGAATGTGGCAAAGCCTATAAGTGGCCCTCAACCCTTAGTTATCATAAGAAAATTCATACTGGAGAGAAACCTTACAAATGTGAAGAATGTGGCAAAACCTGTAAGTGGTCCTCAACCCTTAGTTTTCATAAGAAAATTCATGCTGCAGAGAAATCTTACAAATGTGAAGAATGTGGTAAAGCCTTTGGCTGTTTCTCAGTCTTTAGTAACCATAAGGTAATTCATAGTGGAGAGAAACCCTATAAATGTGAAGAATGTGGCAAAGACTTTACTACGTTCTCAATCTTTACTAAACATAAGAAAATTCATACTGGAGAGAAACCCTACAAATGTGAAGAATGTGGTAAAGTCTTCAGCTCTTTCTCAGTCTTTGGTAACCATAAGGTAATTCATACTGGAGAGAAACTCTACAAATGTGAAGAATGTGACAAAGTCTATAAGTGGCCCTCAACCCTTAGTTATCATAAGAAAATTCATACTGGAGAGAAACTCTACAAATGCGAAGAATGTGGCAAAGCCTATAACTGGCCCTCAACCCTTAGTTATCATAAGAAAATTCATACTGGAGAGAAACCCTACAAATGTGAAGAATGTGGCAAAGGCTTTAGTACGTTCTCAATCTTTACTAAACATAAGAAAATTCATACTGGAGAGAAACCCTACAAATGTGAAGAATGTGGCAAAGCTTTCAGCTGGCCCTCAAGCCTTAGGAAACACAAGAGAATTCATGCTTGAGAGAAACCCTACAATTGTGAAGAATGTGGCGAAGCCTGTAACTGGTTCTCAACCCTTACATAAGAAAATTCATACTGGAGAGAAACCCTACAAATGTGAAGAATGTGGCAAAGGCTTTAGTATGTTCTCAATCCTTACTAAACATAAGGTAATTCATACTGGAGAGAAACACTACAAATGTGAAGAATGTGGCAAAGGCTTTAGTATGTTCTTAATCCTTACTAAACATAAGGTAGTTCCTAATGGAGAGAAACTCTACAAATGTGAAGAATGTGGCAAAACCTATAAGTGGCCCTCAAACCTTAGTTATCATAAGAAAATTTATACTGGAGAGAAACTACAAATTTGAAGAATGTGGCAAAGTGTTTAATATGTTCTCAATCCTTACTAAACATAAGGTAATTCATACTGGAGAGAAACCCTACAAATGTGAAGAATGTGGCAAAGCCTTTAGTAAGTTCTCAGTCCTTACTAAACACAAGGTAATTCATACCAGATAGAAACCCTACGAATGTGAAGAATGTGGCAAAGCCTTCAACTGATCCTCAAGCCTTACTAAACACAGGAGAATTCATACTGGAGAGAAACCTTACAAATGTGAAGAATGTGGCTAGCCTTTTCACTGTTCCTCAATCCTTACTAAACATTCATGTAATTCATACTGGAGGGAATTCCTACAATTGTGTGGAATGTGGCAAAGCCTTTAACCAGTCCTTAAGGCTTACTACATATAAGACAACTTACACTCTAGAGAAACCATACACGTGTGAAGAATGTGGGAAAGCCTATAATAGATCCTCAATTCTTAACAGACTCTACAAACCAGACTCTACAACCTGAAAGATGTGACAATGCTTTTGGCAACACCTGAAACTTTTCTGAGTATAAAAGAAATCATACTGGTGAGAAATCCTAGAAATGTGAAGAATGTGACAAAGCCTTTAAATGGCTGTCACACTTGATTGTAGGTAAAATAACTCATACTGAAGAAAACTGCTATAATAAACAGTGTGGCAAAACATTTAACCAATGCTCATGCCTTTTTGCAAAGGAAAGCATTTATACTAGCCTGGGCAACTCTGTCTGGAAAAAAAAAATTGTGAATGCCACTAATATCTTCTCACATCTTATTAAACATCAGAGTTCATACTAAATAAAAGCATTAAGGGTGCAATTACTGTCAATAGATCTTTCAGAAAATAAAAATCCTTAAAGTACAGAAGAATATTAATTTTGAGGAAACACATTACAAATATAAAGAGGGTTGTAGTATATTTACTTGTATCACAGATTTTATTGTACACATTTTGTACTACAGAAATGAATTTATATTAATTGGACAAATTTCAATATAGTTTAAAAATATAAATTAAAAATTTTTTCTAAAAAGTGAAGGAAATCGTTCATTTAAAAATTTAGAGAGAATTTTACTCTAAACAGTTGCTTTAGAGTCTGTCTTTTAAAGTACTATACTATTTTGAACATTAAAAATCAACAGTCTATTTCTGAGTGCTGGGTTCTCAGCACTTAGATGTACTTACTACATCTGTAAATGAGCAAGCCATTTGAAATATATATATATATATATATAGAAAGTATTAGTAGTCATTTTGATTGGTAAATCACAGTTGCATAAATTTATGGGCTACAATGTGATGTTTTAGTATATGTATAAAATATGGAATAATTAAGTTTTGTTTAGTAACATATCTATGAACTCACCTATCATTTTTGTGGTGGTACATTTGAAAAGTCCTCTTAGTTATTAATATACAATACATTATAGTTACTATAGTTACCATCCTCTGCAATAGATCTCAAAACTTAACTAACGTATTTGAAAGTTTTTACTTTTTGTCAGCTCCCTTTCTTTTCATAAAATTTATATCCCTTCTGAATGTGAATATATGACAATTTGCCAAGAATAGTATTAAAAACAGTCAACCACTATTATAGCCCCAGACTGTGAATTTAGTCTCTCAATGTAGAGTAAATTAAGAGAAGATTTATTTTTTTCAGCCGAGAACATAAGTGTATAAAACTAATGGGTAACAAACATGGCATTCATTGCCAAAAAATAGTATGACTAGATTCAGTGTGTAGCTATGCAAATGACAGTTCAACTAGATTAGACGCTAATAGGTACATGTGAAACACATTGATGTGCAATGTGTTGCACCTCCACTCAGCACCTTTTTTTTGGCCAATTTGAAAGATATCAGTTTCCCCTGAGTGACTCAGAAAGAATATTGAAAATTGAAAATTCTGTGTTCAGAGTAATTATTGGGAACATGGTTAAAACATTTCTTCAATGTTATGAAAAGTTTTTATAAATATCACTCCACTTCAAAAGTCTTTTAGTAAAAGATTGTTTGTTTATAGTACTCAATTTAGATTCATAACAATTTCAATATTCCAGGAAAGTCAGAGACACTTAAATGTAAACAAAATTCCATAAAACTTGAATGAGATAAATTCCTCTTCGTTAAGAATTTTGTTTTATTAATAAATATAGAGAAAAATAGAAAATCAGTACTTCAGGCAAAATAACAGTTTTTGGCCGGGAGTATCACCAAAACAAGTGCTCTTGATTATCAACAAGTGAAAAGAGCATTGCTGCTTTCCTGGAATTAGCTGGCCTGCTTTCCACTGATATGAAGGGAGAAGGCATTGAAAATAGTGAAACAGGGTGATATAAATGGAGTACTTATAGGAAATACAGTTTATAATAAAAAGTAGCATTTGATGTTTTACAACCATAGAGGAGACTATTAGCATGAGGTCATAATCTTATTTCTATTGACAAATTAACTTCATTTACAATATTCTTAATTCAGACAATATTTTTTCTGCTCTATTTGCTAGATTTTGGTCAAATCTTATCTGAACTCGATAGAAATCAAAATAAATCAATTTTACCACAAGCATTTTATTATTGATGCATCTGTTTATTTTGCTTAAAATACATTAGCTTTTGAAAAGATTTATAGTTTTGTTTCTGAGTGTTTATTTCTCAGAAGTTGCTGTCATGCTAGAAAACTGCTATTCTCAGCTCTACTCACATTGACGAATAGCAAGTGGAAGTGATGTGTGGATGAGAAGCAAATGTGACTTCTCTGCATCTCTTTTTTAATCAATTGGCTGAAGAAAGAGAATGTAGATAGAAGGTGAAAGAAAATATAATCCCTGAAAGATCATGAAAAAGTCCTTTTAGTCAGAAAAAAGAAATGGTGACTTGAGCAGAATATATATTTTAAAATACTTCTTTTCAAAAAATTCTCTTTTGTTGAAATATAAAAAAACGGACCAAATAAAGTCTCAATGAATTAAGTATAGCTCCCAGTATAATTCACAGTTAATAAAAGTTGACTATCTGTAGACGATATTTTTCATCAGCACTTTTCACCATACAGCTAGACCTCAGCTAACACTTATTATGTGTCATAAAAATGAATCACTTTAGAAGCCATCTTAATAATGAGACAATTTGTTACAGGAAGTCAGGGACCCCCAATGGAGGGACAGACTGGAGCTGCAGCAGACGATCACAAATTGTGAAGATTTCATTTTAATATGGGCATTTATCACTTCCCTAAAAATACACTTCCCTAAAAATACTCATTTCTTATGCCTGTCTTTACTTCAATCTCTGAACATAAATTGTGATGATTTCATCGACATTTGTCAGTTCCCAAATAATACTCTTATAATTTCTTATGCCTGTCTGTCTTTAATCTCTTAATCCTGTTATCTTTGTAAGCTGAGGATGTATGTCATCTCAGAATCACTATTGTACAAATTGATTGTAAGATGTGTGTTTGCACAATATGACATCAGTGGACCTTGAAAAAACAGAATAACAATTTTAGGGAATAAAGGAAGACAACCATAAAGTCTGACTGCCTGTGGGGTTGGGCAGAATAGAGCCATAGTTTTCTTGTAGAGAGCCTATAAATGGACTTGCAAGCAGGGAAGATATCACTGAATTTTTTTCCTAGTAAGGAATATTATTGATACCCTGGGAAAGAAATGCATTCCTGTGGGGAGGTCTATAAATAGCCACTCTGGGAGTGTCTGTCTTATGCGGTTGAGATAAGGACTGAAATACACCCTGGTCTCCTGCAGTACCCTCAGGCTTATTAGGGTGGGGAAAAAACCTATGGTGGTGAATTTTGGGTCAGACCAGTTCTCCACTCTTGAACCCTGTTTTCTATTGTTTAAGATGTTTATCAAGACGTGCACAGCTGAACATAGGCCCTCATCAGTAATTCTGATTTTTGCCCTTTGCCTTGTGATATTTGCTTTTGTCCTTGCCTTGTTTCCTTAGAAGCATGTGATCTTTGTTTTGCAGCTCAGGTGGGCATCACGGTCCTACCAATATGTGACGTCACCCCCGGAGGCCCAGCTGCAAAATTCCTCTCTTTGTACTCTTTATTTCTCAGACTGGCCGACACTTAGGGAAAATAGAAGCTACATTGAAATATTGGGGGTTGGATCCCCCAATAACAATTGACTTCTGGTACACAATTCAGAACATCTACAAAAGGAGTGGTGAGCAGATTTCAACTGTGATGCAAAATCTTATTCGTTGGCATTGGTAGCTGAGTGCTGTGTTAAGGATTCTCGAATCACTATTAAGTGGAAGTAGATCATCATAAAGGTATTCATTCTCATGTTCACACCAGGTTGGGTTGCTTTCTTTTCCGCAACTGTGTTTAAAACTGTAATGAGGCTTTTGGGTGTGCATCTTTTTCTAGTTTTGCACAGCTACAGAGGCTTCAGGAAACTTACCATCATGGTGGAAGGCAAAGGGGAAGCAAAGACTTTCTGGTTGTGGCTGGAGAAAGAGCTACAATATACTTACTGGTCTCACTCCAGATGTTCTTAACATTCAGACATGGTAACCCAGCAATCATATTGACACTATCCATTCCAGTGATACTCAAACTTCAGCATGCATCAGAATCCCTGCAAGGCTTACTAAGGTACAGACTGCTGAA